CTCTCGTCACCAGCGAAGGCTGAAGAGACTTTACTCGAAACAAAGCCATTTTCCGAAAATGGTTGGGGATTTTCAAAGGAGTTCGCGAAGCGCCACGGCTCATCAGTTCGGTGCATTACCATAAACACAATGGGCGGATGCCTACACGTGGAGACAAATGGGCGGCTCACTCCTCCAAGTACGTCGAGCGAGAGCTCTGGCCACTGAGCCCGACTCGGTCTGCGACATTGGGAGAAAGCCGACAGCTGCCGGCCATGGGCCGCACTGGGCAGATGCGTTCTGAGAGGTGTAGCAGCGGCCTGGCCAACAACCATTGAGATTCTGATGATCTTAACATTTCGCAGCCGACGCATGGCTGTGCTGGCAACTCTGCCACGCCAGCCCGTCGCCGCCTGCCTCCAGCAGTGCGGGCCTGGTGGCGGCACGGTGGCCGGCAGCCGAGGAGCACCACGGCGCCGGGCCTGACTAGACGGCGGTCAGTCGGGCGTAAGTGGAACCGTCGCCCGACCCGGCTCGAGACGGCTGGAGGGAAGCAAGGTCAGTTCCGAAGCGAGGTCAGGAAGGAAGCACACCAGGCGAGCTGTGGAGAGTCGGCAGCGGCCAGGCTCCGGCAGAGCTGCAGCCACCGACGGCAAAACAAGGCACGCGGGTGGAAATTAATTGGCCACGAAATGCGGCGCTGCTGGTTGAATCAGCATCATGGTGCTGCTGCTGCTGGTTGAATCTGACATCTGCCGGCAGGATGGTGCTTTTCACGGATGAGTGACAGCGGTCAACGTTTTCTGTCCAGGTCTCTCTCTCTCTCTCTCTCTCCTCTCTCTCTCTCTCTCTCTCTCTCTCTCTCTCTCTCTCTCTCTCTTCTCTCTCTCTCTCTCTCTCTCTCTCTCTCTCTCTCTCTCTCTCTCTCTCTCTCTCTCTCTCTCTCTCTCTCTCTCTCCCTCTCTCCTCTCTCTCTCCCTCTCTCTCTCTCTCTCTCTCTCTCTCTCTCTCTCTCTCTCTCTCTCTCTCTCTCTCTCTCTCTCTCTCTCTCTCTCTCTCTCTCTCTCTCTCTCTCTCTCTCTCTCTCTCTCTCTCTCTATCTGTCGACGTCAACCAGTCATGGGCTGGCCTGATTCGTCCCATTGTGCACGGCAGACAGAGGTGCTCTTGACCTAACTACCGACAAATGACGTTCCGTTCCGAAATGTACAAACCAATTGAACCAAATCACTTTTCTTGGGAGTTGGTCTCGACGCACTTCATTCAATTGTATCGTAACTCAGGCCTGATGGGGGGCTTGTTTTCTAGCGGCGGGCAAAAAATCCCGGCCGATAATTGCCTCTAAGTAAGCGGGCATGTCGGGCCGGCCGTGTCCGCGGGGGTTGGGCCGGGAACCCGGCGGGGCCACCAGCGCTCCTCGGCAGGCGCAGGGACCGGCCGGCACCGGCAGCTGCCGTGTCCCTCTTCCCCCCCCCCCCCCCCCCGTTCTCTCCGTCGCCGTGCCTGCCGCGACTCATCAGTCGGTGCCTGGTCAATCTCGACCTCAGCCCAGATGAAGATGACCGCCTCCCGTAGCGGGGCATGGCGATCGAGCCCGGCCGTGCCGCCGCCAGCGCGCGTCCTGCCCCCGCCCCGGCTCTGCCCCACGGACGGAGGGGAGGGGAGGACCGCTCTCGACAGAGCCGGGGTCGCAGGAGCGGGCGGCGAGGGCGGGGGCGGCCGGGCCGGCGCTGTGCCGCTGTCCGGGCGACACGCCGCGCGTGGGACGGCTGACCCGTAAACAGACAACGGCTCGTTGCAACACGCGGGGATGGATGGCGCATGGTAGGCGACCGGTAATGAGTGAGTTAGAAGAGGCATGGCAGACTGTGCGCTCGCTCGCCGCTGAGCATGCTAATGCATGCATAATGTCCCATGGAAACAGAACGCAAGACAAACGCTCCGATCGGCCGGGCTTCGTAAATAGCGCGGCGAGGCCACGCGATAGTGCCGTGTCAGATTCAGTGTCCACCTTGGTGCACGCGACCCCGCGCGCCGCGTACAAACACGCCGTGCGGCGCGCACGCCACCGAAGCGGGGACAGGCCAACGCAGGACAATGCCCCCGAGCGACGGCATTGCGCCCGTCCGGTCCGACGGGGTCGATACCCGCCGGCACCGAACAGGTCAGGTACGGTCGGGCTGAAGGAGCCGACAGCGTGGCGATCGACGTGACGCCGGTCGGCACTGCTGCCGCTCGTGGCTTATGTCGACCTTTAGCGTCGCTCGGCCGCGGGCCGCGATCGTACGTGCGCCGAGCCGGAGCGTTGACACGCGCCCAGGCGGCCGGCAGCGGTCGCCCTCTCCGGGGCGGCGGACGGCGGCCGATGTATGACCCGTGTCAGAAGGGTCAGGGCCGGCCACGCCACCGAGAAGAATGGCTCAATTCCTGCCGGGTGGTCATCAATTACCCACACAATGTCTAGCTATTTGTATCGAACCCAAGTTAAATGATGCCTAGTTATCTAGCTATTTGGCGTCTGCTTTGGTTATTTTTCTGTAAGAATATTAAGTTTAGCACCGTTACTGCGGTGGTTGTTTTGTAGAGGGTTTTACCTAGAAATTAGACTCGCCAACCGATGGGGACGCACATTTCCCCTTCCGTGGATTAGACCTACTTTGGCTCGTTGGACGTAATCTTAACGCAGGAAAAGGCAGAGTGCTTAAGGCCATTCAGACTTGAATTATGCGCTTTACAATTCTCCTCCAAAAGTCAGGGGGCGCCGATATGTGGCGTAATAATGGCCCGCATGCATGAGTATGATATACAACACTGCCGAGCGGGTTGGTCGGCTGACCATCTGCAGTCATGGAATCCTTCCGAAAGGATCTGGCGAGGCGCCGCCCGACTAGCCGCATGAGGAGACCGTTTAACATTGACCAGAGCAGACTGTTTCCAGGCGGCGGAATCATTCTGCGATACGAGAAGACAGCGCGATCGGCGATGTTCTTAGGCGATGTTTGAGCTGCATCAAAACGTATATTTTAGGAAAATGGAAGTGCTTCAGCCGCAGTTGCATACTCAATTACCGGGTTAACGCGTCTGCGCTACCCACTGCGCGTCTGGGAAACCAGAGGTACGGGGTTCGATTCTCCGCGGCGCCCGCCCTTCCTGCCAGGGTGAGAGGCAGGCGACGCCATATAGCCTCAGAAGCTGAGTGCGTCGTAAAGCCCCAATGACAAACAGCAAACATACCCCATCACTCGGCTTGAAAACCGAAAGCAGCACACTATAAACACAGCCGGAGCATTATAACCGGCATGTCCGCTCGATTTCGTCGTGACCTCTCGCTCTGGGCCGCGCCGTCAGCCCGGCGGGCGCCACTTCGTTCAGCCCTCTGTCACCGGGGACGCCGGTTGAGAGCACGCCGACCGACACAGTGGTGCATCCGTCTCGCAGGACCGGGCCGTTCCGCTGATCGATGAGGCGGCGCTGGCGTGCGGGCGCCACTTCAAATTTAATGCGAATCGATGCAGATGTTGAGACGGCGCTCACCGAACGGTCAGTCAAAAATAGGACGATGACATCTAATCAGCCGCGGATTTGGGGACGCTCGTGTCGTTTGCAAGATTTATAAACTTTCGTTTCCAGCACTCCCATCCGGAGATCGAGTCCCCGTGAGCTGGCTCGTTCGAGAAGGCATCAGTGTGAGCAATGCCACTTTGAGCCACAGCAAACCGAGTGGCATCACCGCAGGCTGCACCACTGAGTGGTGCACCACTGCAGGCTGCACATTTCAAGGCGGCACCACTCAAGACTGCGCAGTTCGGAGCAGCACCACTCGGCGCTGCACCACGCAGAGCACATCGCTCCGAGCTGCACCAATCTAGCGGACCGAGACGGCTCGATGGAATCCGCCACATGCCCGCCTATCAGGGGTGGCTATCTGGGCTGACCAGCAGGGCGTGCCGACGGCCCGAGTCAGCCCGCCCCGCATTCCCGTCGACAAACACAAGTGCGCCGCTATCGGCGCCGTGTCACTGATACACAGGCGCTCGGCTCGGCGCAGGTGCGCCCGCGCCGCTCGTTCCGACGCGTCGCGCGGCTCGCTCGGTTCGCATCGCGTCGAGCCCGGCCTAACGGTGCCGGTGGTCGGCTGGGGTGTACAGGGAGCCGCGGTGAGCCTGTGACGCCGCCCTGCAGCGCTCATCGGCGCAGCCCCGGGCGGTGCAGCCGGCAGGAGCGGGTCACGTCTGGCTCAAATGGCCCTCCCGGCTCTGCTGGTCGCCGCTCACCGGGCTATTTCGGCCCGACAACCGCCACAAACGGCGGCTGAGGAGCGGTTATCACCGCCTCCACGCCGGTGCGGCACGCGTGGAGCGCGGCGTTACTGACGGTCGGCACGGCACGGCACGGCATGTGCCACGGGCAATGCATTGCTGACCGGACGCGCGCGCCGTCACCAGGCCATTAGAGCTCGCCGCCACAGGTGGTCGGTCGGGCAGCGCGGCGCGGGCGGGGAGAAGAGCATCGGGCGGCCCCTTCCGCCAGCGCCGGCCGACGGCGCGCGCTGAGGTTGTTCAAATACGCTGTGCAAGTAGGACGAATGTTTTCGAGCGTTGCAACACTCCTTCCTGTCTTGTGAGGCCTGACTTGGGATTGGCGATACCGGTGACTCATTTACTTATTTCGTATGCCGTGTTTGGAAATAGCTCCACTGAAACATTACTGGCCACGTTTCACCGTCGCGTTGAATACATGAATAACCAGATACAGTGCTCCAAAATATCAACTGCATCAAAAATCATCAATTACAAAAGCTAAACTACATCTCGGTGACGTGCCAATGAAGAAAATGACTTCAAAATCAGCTCACCCCACACTCATGAACCAGCCCAAACACCCTGAGATGTTTGCAGCCTGATCTGCAGGCAAATACACACACGCGGGCTGTTCCCAGCAAAGCGCCTCCCACCTTCCAGCCACCAGTCTGACAATACAGTGGCCTGGAGTCGGGCGCGCTGGTAGCGCCGAGCACTCACCGCTCCAGGCGCGTGGTGGTGCGCTCGGCGACGCCGAAGTTGCTGCGGGTGATGGCGACGCAGCCGAGACGCGGGGACGGACGCGTCGGCCAGGCCGCCTCGCCGTCCGACGGGCGGCGCCACGAGAACAGTGCGCTGTTCTTCCAAGAGGCGACCGAGTCGCGCCAACGGGTCTCCTTCTGGGGGCTCGCGTCCCAGCGCCGGGGGCTGGCGTCCCAGCGACGGGGGCTGGCGTCCCAGCGACGGGGGCTGGCGTCCCAACGACGGGGGCTGGCGTCCCAGCGGCGGGGGCTGGCTTCGCCGCGGCGTGGGCTGGCGTCCCAGCGGCGCCAGAGCTGGCCCTCGGCCCAGAGCAGCTCGCGCGGCGTGCGGGCCGTGGAGCCGGCCGAGCCGAGCGAGGCGTCCGAGGCCCAGGACGAGCGGTGTGCGGCGGCGGGCGGCGGCGGGCCCGGCTCAATGCGTGCCGACCCCCGCACGCTGCCGAGCCCGCTGCGCGAGCGCAGCGAGTCGTACCCGGAGCTGCTGCGAGAGAAGAGAGATTTGGCGCCGCCCGAGGAGCGGCCGGCGCTGACGTCCAGGCTCGACTCTGCGCTGCTGAAGCTGGCGCCCTTCGGCGGCTTCTGGCAGAAGCAGCTCTCCAGGCCGCACAGGCCGCGCCGGGAGAGGCGGCAATTGCTCAGGTCAGTGATCGTGCGGAACAGGGGCGAGTCGCGCGACGGAGCGGCGGCGGCGGGCGCCGGCCGCGGGCGCCGGCGCGCCGCCTCGGGTGGCGGCCGCAGGCTTGCGCTGCTCGGCGGCTTGCTGGCCGCGTCGGGCGGCGGCGGCTTGCCGGAGGCGCCACGGCCCGGGCCGGCCACGCCGCGCTGGATCTGCGAGATGGTCATGGCGGCGGAGCGCGTCACCGGCTGGTCCGCTCGGCGCCGGACGCGCGGCCACACTGCAGCCGGCCGGCGGCCCGGCCGCCGCGCCGGCCGCCGCCGCCGCCGGCGCCGACCGCCGCCCAGCCCCGGCGGCGGCCGCGGCCGCGCTCGCCGCACGTGCAGCCGCCGTGCATGGGCGGCGCCGAGCCTCGGTGAGCCAGGGGCTCTCGGACGGCTACTAAGTCACGCGATCGAGAGCTTCACTCCGTGTGCCTGGCGAGCAGGGCTTTCCGAAAGCGCCGGTCCTAATTATCTGCGGATCTGTGGGACTTTGGATCTGGTGTCATAAGCCCGCAGTGGCGGCTCGTTCCTGGGCGTTAACATACAACGGTTCGGGGAACATCCACAGTGTATGTGCACCAACTTTAGAGGCCTTCGGCAGGACATGCCAGGGCTAACGCACTGCAGCCGCACAGCAATACACCAAGTATATGGGCATATCAGCTTATACATAACACGGTAACGGGTCTGGCACGGCATCGATCTTGATATTGTGCAACTCGGGCCTCCAATTTGGCCAGCTGCGTATTTTTCTGGCGCTATCGCGGCAAACGGTGCGAAGGCCGGCGCTAGAAGGCCGCGGATACTCAGCGCTTACACGCGCCAATACAATGAAACAATACACATGCAGTGACGTCGCCGTGTTTCAGTTGTGCTCTGTAGCGGAAGTATCCACCACAGCGTTATGCATTGTGTGCTTGGTTAGTAAATGGGCTGTCGGGTTACAATACAGCAAAGTTCGTTTATTTGCCCAGCAACGCTGGCGGGACAGCTAGGTCTTCATTAGGTCACCTTGACAAGGCATTGATAAAACTCATGTCAATAACGATCGACCTGCGTTAGAAATGGGAATAGCGCCAAACTACGATGGGGGCCAAGGCCGCGTGAGGCATGAGACCCCAAACGTATAGCCTGAATTTTCCGCTGATGCATGGCGTTCGAGTTTTGAACAAATGCCATCACGTCATTATCTGACACGTATGCCATTTCGATAAAGCAAACTAATCCCATTTCAAAAACGTCAGGCATCGCAAGAGACGTTACCAATCGCTGATAACACATCTACAACTGGCTTTGTCACGAAATCAGAACAGCTCATAGCCAGTTGTGAGGCCTACTTTAGCTTGAAGTGGGCACGTCCCTGGGGCCTAGGCAGTGAAAGGCGATGGACTTTGTACATAGCGATTTATATCATGAAGACAGGCTTCCTCTGGATCCAAGGCTCAAATTTGTTGTCAACTTCACAGCAGCGTGCCTTGAACTCTCCGGTAAGAAGTGATGCAATTTGATTCGTTAGAGCCGAGGTCGTGAGTCAGAGTCGCGCTCTGATCCCACATGTACTTCACGTTGTCCACCAATCTCCAAGAATCTAGGATTCTCGAGAAAATCATGAGAAAAATCTTGCTGGGCATACCCTCCTGGTAAACATCTGTCGAATGTTCTTCCTGCTAACATGGTCCTTTTTAACCTGCGTAGAACCTTGCTGTATATATGTTGTTAGAATATTCTATCATACGTGGTTAAGTTGGCATTTTTTTGACAAGATCCTTGGGGCTCCTAAATAAGACATTTTGAGGGCATCAGGTTATGTTTACCTATTTCATTCAATGCATAAAGATGAGAGGAGTGATGCAAATGGAGTGCTAAGCTCTCACACTGGCTCTTTAGCTCTCCCCGACAATCTGATGCGTCAAATTCGGACATTTTTTGTTTTAGCCCGTGGTGAGTATTCTCCCGAAGAGCAATTACAAACGCCTTCATGAAGACCACAAGCAAGAAAATGGCTTAAATCGCGTGAAGAAATGAATGATGTATACTTTCGACTAGGTACAGGATGGATAAAAATGCATTGCTATTGAATATGTGTGTCTGGCTGAGATTAGCGTGGCCGTGTTGGGTAACTCCTCACCGACCCTAGACTCTGGCATTTTCTGTAATGTTTGTCGAACGCCGCATGTGTTGTGCCCAACACGTTTTCGATAAATCGCAAAACAACAGCATTCCACGGTCATGACGGCAGCTGCAGCGTCCCCCCCCCCCCCCCCCCACTTCCCCGTAGGGTGTCCGGCAGTCACGTGTTTCCGAGCCCCAAGCTGGGCTGGGACCACACGGCTTGTGGCCGCCGTGGTTAACTTTAGCATGGATGGAGCTCAACACCAGCTCAGTACTGCCAGCGATGATGGAGAAGGTGATGGTAACCATGGGACCTTCGTCCGCAGTGAGCCGGCCGACTTCAAATCATTAAAACTGGAAGTGCATAACTTTGTTCCATCAGTAAATGTCCGTTCCGACAGCTGTGCACAGGGGCTGTGCGCAGCTCACCTTTATGAACATTCCCCATCAACGATTTCAGCGAAAGTCAGTATCCCAATGAGAACTTGCTCCTTTCGTCCTACCTGATTACTTAAGGTTCCCAGTGAACCGAGGAAAGGCGGCTTTCTAAGGGAGCAAATGGCATGAATAGTCCGATGAAATGCGATGGTGTAATAAATTACCTGCAACGAATTTGTCCTGAGACGTACTTGTTTTTAGGTGATAATATCCGCTGGTAAATATGATAAGCTACAATAGTCAGGGGGCATTCAACAGTTGGTGGCAGAGGTCGAAACGAAGCCTTCGTTCAGTCACATAATAGCTAATGTAAGCTAACATAGCAATAGCTAGCATAAGGCAATAAAAGTGCTGCTGCTCCCCATAATTCATCCCTGAAAACCCGCGAGTCGGGCTATCACTGCTCCTCAGGCGTGGGTTGAGTAAGCACGTGACATGAACCTCGCCAGCAGAGTCAGGTTCTTGGAGCCTGCTGATGCTTCAACCGAAAACCTGGGGCCCACTTAAGCTGCTGAGCTACTCAACGTCTCCTGTATATCTCACTGCCCCGTAAGTCCGAGCTCGTCCCGCGACGAGTCGGCGCTGGCGGAGAGACCTGCCGAGGCGCCGGCCGTGAGCTCGCGTCCGAGCCCGTCTCGCGACGAGCCGGCGCTGGCGGAGAGACCTGCCGAGGCACCGGCCGCGAGCTCGCGTCCGAGCTCGTCCCGCGACGAGTCGGCGCTGGCGGAGAGACCTGCCGAGGACGCCGGCCGTGAGCTCGCGTCCGAGCCCGTCTCGCGACGAGCCGGCGCTGGCGGAGAGACCTGCCGAGACGCCGGCCGTGAGCTCGCGTCCGAGGCTGGCCTCGGAGCCGCGGGCAGCGCATCAACAGCAGGCCGTGTCGTCAGACGATAAGAAAAGTGAGAACTTTAAACACACCCGCCAGTGTTTACGTTAGTGACGGGTGGGCTCATCGCGTACAGCATGGATGCTTATGGCGGTACAAAGCTGCTGGCAATCAACGACTCCGAAGTAAACATTGAGCATGAAGGCTGACAAAGTTGATGGTGGTACGGCGCGACCTTCACCACTGGGTGGCACCCAGTTGAAAGGGCGGAGCTCCACACACAAACAACGGCGATCACACAAACGTGTTTTGGTATAGGCGATTTATTTCTCAGCCCAGTACTGAGAACTAATGTGATGAGGGCTGAGAACTAATTATACATTATAATGCATGCTAATCCGAGCACGAACAGCTATCGCACATTAAAATACATCGGTCCCGTAATTAGAGGATAATAAGTCGGCACTTTGATGGCGAAGTTAGCTTATCAACCCGTCGATATATATTGAGGAGCCCGCTGTAGCTGGGAGGGGATGTCGTGACATGTGTCGCGGGACTGACGCCGTGCCAGCCAGAGTCCTTGACATTGGGTTCACTGGCGTAGAACAACTTTAGCAATGACTCCCTAATATTTGTTCAGTGTATTGGCGAGGAGCATTATTCACATAGATAAGACAGTAGTAATAGTCTTATTCCTCGTAGAAAAAGCAGAAGATTGGCGATATAGTTGGGTTGATATTTCGATAAAGGCATGTTGCCGAAGCATCAACCCAACTATATCTCCATTCTCCCGGTTTTTCTCTAATGAATACGGCTATTACTGCTGTCTCATTTATATCTCTCCCTAAAACGTTAAAAGTAACGCCCTTTTAGGTGAGGGAATAATATCCGAGCCGTGCTAGGTAGGCTCTCCAAGTTTTTGGTGCTTGACGAGCAATAAATGGTGCGCTCTGAAGGGAAGGCACTGTCCAAACTGGTTCGGGCTGATCAGTCACAACGTGGACAGTGGCGGCTTGATCGGCGATACTTGACCTCACATGCGCTGAGTTGTAGCAACTGTCCGCGCTTTGGCATCACTTTTCGATTGGTTTGATCGTCTATCAGCCAACGCCGGTCACGCGACGGGATCACACCACGTCACCTCAGATGTTATTGAGATGCATGAGAGATGGTATATGTGTCGATTTAAAACAATTTTTACGTCCATTTGAGATGGGTTTATCGGC